GTTTTATTTTGCACAAACTTTATTTTAAACGTTTTTTCATTTATTCTATTCGAAAGTTTATCTCAAAAACTAAGTTTTTGTGTGTCGTTTTCTAATTTCCATTAACAAATCTGTGTAAAAATATTTTTTAATATTTTCCTCACTCTTTTTTTATTTGGAACTGGAGTTTACAATTTCATTGATTTTCATTAATTTTGTTCCCTTTTTTAGTGCGATTTTATTTGCCATTAATATTTTTAAGTTAATAAGTTGTATTTATGTTAAATTTGCAAAAAGAAATATAATTTTTAGATTTAAAACTACAAAAGTTACTATTATTTTATAGCGTATTTTAAATGGTATGTAAACTCCAGTTCCGCCAGAATTACCGAATTCTAAATGTATAAAAAAAATAAAAAAAATAGTGATTTAGAGTAAGCAAATCTCTTTAATAATCTGCAAAAATTGTTTATTTTTATAAATTTTTACGGTTTTAATGAATTTTTTTCTTTGATTTGTAAACTCCAGTTCCTGTAAACTCCAGTTCCTAATTTCGTTTCGCGTAATGGAAGTGTTTTGTTTTTTTGAATGAATATTATTAAACTCGATTAACCTGTATCAAAACATGTAATTTCAATAACAGGTATGAGTAAAAATATTATTTATTTATTAATTAAAGCAGTTTAAAGTAATTATTTGCTTATTTACACTATTTATAATTATTAACAGTCGAAAATTAACTTTTTCAAATAAATTATTTAAACTTTAAATTACAAATTTTTAAATTGTTTGTATATAAAACTAAAGAAAGAATTAAGCTCAAATATCTATAAAATAATCATTCTCAAGCTTTATTAAAAAGATCTAAATAAAAAATTTCCAAAAAATTGAATTAAAAAAAAATTTTTAACATATTCAAAAGTTACCACTTTGTGGAGAATCACCCATATATATCCCCCTTTTTATTATTGGTACCGTAAACTGGGGCTATTAGGAACAAAATTCTGTTTTCGGGTGGAGTTGATGCTATCGGCGCCGTTTATCGATAAATTGTGTTACTTGCTTTTGAAAAATTGTTACTGCGGTAACTGGCAACACTTTTCAATGCAATAATTGTGATTATTAAATATTTTGTAAACAATAGTAGCTTGTAAGTGACTTAATGTGTTTTAGTGAAGTTTCAAACGTGGAAAACATTTGATTGCTGATGTAAGTTGTTTCATTTTTAACATCTCAAAGTGATTGTTTTTTATTAATAGGATTTCTTATGGTAAACTTTATTAAGTTCACTAAGTAATAAATACGTTTATTTTGTATTTACAGTAAGATTTTAGAAACAAAAACCAAAATTCACAAACGGCGGGTATATAAGAAACATAATTATGTCTTCCGAATTGTTAAAGTGTGTTGTCAAAACGTAAGTTTTTCGTAATTTCTTTTGTTTTTTATCACCTAATTTGGTTTTTTGTGTTCAAAGATGGTTCGAAATTGTAAAAGAGTGTTGGTACCGACAAGTCGCAAAAACGACTAGTGATTCCATCATCGACCTCTACTATAAAACCAGCAACGTTTAAAACACACATTCGCTCTTTTAGTTTTGTTTTTACATTTGTTTTATATTCTGTGTTTGCTTCCGAGCAATAAAAAATAACATCTTTGATTTAAAATACATTTAAATCGTTTCAATCGTTTCAATCGTTTTTAAATCATTTAAATCATTTGATTTAAATACATTTAAATGGTTTTTAACGCCTTGTTCCTAATAGCCCCATTTTATAATTTCGAAAAAAGCGTCTTTTTCTTTTTTTTTTGTTTAAAATTCCAGCTTTTATCAAGGCAATTATTTAACCCTTCAATGTGCTCGCCAAGATCAAGAAAAGAAACAAAAAATTAAGGCAATATTTCAATACACAAAAAAGTTGCAAGACTTTAAAGTTGAAATCTGTTCCTAATAGCCCCAGTTTACGGTAGTTAGAATGTTGATTTTAAATTATATAAATTTTAGATTCGTAATCGACTATAGCCCATGGGAACTTGCTGAAAATCAAGAGCCGGGGATGTTTTGGGCCTTGGATCATGTCCTTAAGTCCGCGTCTCCAGCAATTGAAGCAGCCATAGGGAGGCGGATCCAGAACCTCCGACGTTTCGATTTCCTTTAGGCCCCCGAAGATGACCCCATTTCTTCTTGGTTTTGCAACCTGGTTTCTTTCGGGCTTCCTTTCTATATGTCTCCCTTTCTCTGTCTCCTTAGGTCGTGTTCCTGTCCCTTCGGCCCTCTTAGTTGGTGGTCCTGGGTGGGGAGAATGAGAACGTTGAGCTCTCACCGCTGGTTCTTGGCTCTCCATGTCCTCTTTTCGTAGGGCTGGTTCTTTCCTTTTTTCTATCTCCCTACGTTGTTTGGCCCTGATCTTTTCTAGGGCAACTGACGTTAGTGGTTCCTGGAGGCGTAGGAATCGATCTAGTTCGAATTCGGCTAGTCGACTCTCATACGCCTCCATGCTCTCGCCAGGGCGTTGATCTGCCGGCCAGCGGTAAGGCACCACTATCTCGGCCCCATCAGGTCTTCGATTTGTTTTCGGTTTCTCCAGTTCGGCTTCCAAGGCACTGAGATCAGCCCATTCCGTGGTTGGCACTACTAGGCCAATCTCTCCACCTACGGCACCCTCTTCTTCCTCGAGATCAGGACTTCTTTGGCTCTCCTCTGGCTCTCCTACTTCTTCTCCTCGGGCCATGGGTCGGACCATTAACGGCTCTGTTGATGCCCCCTCGGTAATTGGGAACGAGAGGTATGACGGACCCTCCGTACTGGCATCTCCTTCGCTGAATTCCGGGAACGGACGATGTCTGGACTGTGTTCGTCCCCTTCTCTCCATTCTGGCTCGTTCTCGCCCCATTTCCTCTGGCTGCCGTCCACCCCTCTCTCTGGCTCTACGGCTCCCTGGCGGTGTGTATGGCATGGCTCTTCTCTGTCTCTCCTTTCTCTTACTGGCCCACCTTCTCCTTCTCCGGCTCTCCTCTCGATCTAAAACAATTTTATTAATTTGTAGCGGACGTATAACATGTTACAAATTTGGGATAGGTAAGTATGGTTTTAGGTCGGTGATGTGAACTTTCGGGACTCGTTTGCTTTGATCATCTTGTATGATGAAAACCGTTGGTGAACGGACCTCGATGATCTTAAATGGACCTTCATATTTCAGCGCTAGTTTTGTCGCAAATTTTTGTGTTCCGCTAGACAACTTATGGCTTTTTCGCAACACTAAGTCACCTACTTTGAAGATTACGTCTCTCCTACATTTATCATAATATTTAGCTTGTCTTACCCGTTCCTTGTCAATGTGTCTGGCTACCATGTCTCTTAACGCGTCTAGTCGCTTGACTTTATCTATCCATTCTTCCGGCTCTATTCTAACTACTTTTCTCTTACTCTCTACTTCTCTTCGCAGGCTCTTCACTGGCTTCGGGTGCCTTCCATAATTTAAAAACGCTGGGGACGTTTTCGTTGCCGCTTGAGTTGCTGTGTTCACGGCGTGACGGAATTCGTGAACATGCAAATCCCAATTCCTATGATCGGCACCAATAAAGGTGGAGATCATAGTTTTTAGGGTCCTGTTACTTCTCTCGACTGGGTTGGCTTGTGGTTGGTACGGTGGTGTCGTGATATGTTTGACTCCATATTCCTCAAGTACTGACTTGAGAAGTTTGTTGTCAAATTCCTTACCGTAGTCGGTCAACAAGTACTCTGGTGTTTCCCATCTAAATAGGACCAACTCCTCAAATGCTCTGGCTACCGACTTCCCGTCTGCTGACCTCAGTGGCTTCACCTCTATCCACCTCGAGAACAAGTCCTGGAACACCACCAGGTACTTGCACTGGCTCTTACTCGGTGGGAACTCCATCGTGTCTGCGGCTACTACGGCCCATGGTCTCTCGACGATCCTCTGGCCCATTAGTCCGACTGGTCCGGTTTGAGACACCTTATGCAATTGACACTGGAGGCAATGAGTCACATAGTTGTGTACATCGTTCCAGATGCCTGGCCAATAGTACTCTCGTGCTATTCTGTCGTAGGTTTTCTCAATACCCAAGTGTCCGGCCGAAGCTTGGGCGTGTCCATCTTCCATCACTCGGGTTCTGTACTCTTCTGGCACCACTAACTTCCAACCATCCTCGTCTCCGTTTATCGGCAATAAAAGTGGGTCACTTCTATGCCGATATAGGTTTTCGTTCTCTACGATCCACCTTGGGAACCTCTGAGGATGTTGGTTCACCAACTCACGGCGTTTGATGTACCATTGGTCCTCAATGGAGTCAAACGCGGCTACTGACTCTTCTTCGTCTTCTTGCAGTCTGGACAATGCATCAGGGACATGATGTTGTGCACCTCGTCTGTGAACTATGTCGAAGTCCCACTGCTGCATTTCCAGGGCCCACCTGGCTAATCGGCCTGTTGGATCTTTCAATTTCCTTAGTCATCTCAGGGCACTGTGATCCGTAATCACGTGGAATTTGTACCCTTCAATGTACGGCCTGAACTTCTTGATCGACGACAGTAGTGACAGGCATTCCTTTTCTGTCACACTGTAGTTTCTCTCTGGCTCTGTTAGGACTTGGCTGATGTAGACTATCGGGTGTTCTCCGTCTTCGAACTCCTGTGCCAGTACGGCTCCAATGGCGTAATAACTGGCGTCACACTGAATGGTGAACTTCTTCGTAAAGTCAGGGCGGGCCAATACTGGCGCGGTTGACAGCTTTTGCTTAAGCTGTTCAAAAGCTTCTTGTTGCTCGTCCTCCCATTCCCACCTTCGGCCTTTGTGTAGCAATTTCAGCAATGGTATCTTAATCTCGCTGTCGTTTTGGATGAAGCGAGAGTACCACCCTACCATGACTAAGAAACGTCTAAGTTGTCTAACGTTCTTAGGCTCTGGATAGTTCCTTACTGGCTCTGTCTTACTCAGGTCTGGCCTCAGACCTTCTCTGTCCAATAAGTATCCCAGGTAAGCTCTCTACACTACTGTTTCCTATTGTCCGATTTTATTGGAGGGGGGTACAGCGCTGTTCTGTGCCCCCCATATACCGTTTCCCATCGCGGCTCTTACTGCCATACAGTTTGGGCAGTTTAGGAAATTGCACCCCGGTCTTTTGCACACTAAACACGCTTGTGATTGTACTAGCTTCAGAGGACATTGATTGGCGTAATGTCCTTGTTGTTGACAAGAGAAACAAGTTCTCTGCGGGCAGTCTTTGGCTCGGTGTCCTACTGTCTGGCAGTGGAAACATGCCCCGACGAATTCTTTAGTGGTATTTTGGGCTTGTGTACCATGTTGCCCCGGCTTGGGTCCTTTAGAACCATTTGGCCTGGGGTAATTTGGTTTTATTCCAGGTGGAAACATCCCTGGATAAACCATTGGGTACGCGAATTGTATTGGCATTTGTACTGCTGGTGGTGGCGCTGTACTGACAACTTGACCCTGGACCATTGCTGGCTTCTGATTCGGTGTTGCTGGACTGATGGCCTCAACACTCTTTTCTTCTGGCTTGTTTTTCTCTTTCTTACTTTTTGGGCTCTTCTTCTTTTTCTTCGGCTTATCGGCTTTTGTGGAGTGATCGCTTTTACTCGACTCAGGCTCTTTCTCCAAGGCGGCCACTTTTTCGCTCTTTACGTGTTTGTGTCCACTCTTCCTTTCTTTTACGGCCGCTGACGGAAAACGCATCTTTTCCTTAGGTGGGGGCGGGGCATATCTTTCGTCCAAGTCCTTTGCCTTCTCGTAGTTCCTTAGGATCTTCTCCATCCGGCTCAATGACTCGAACTGCAGTCTATCCAGTTGGCGTCGGTAGGCTGGAGTCAGGCCTTTGTAGGCCACCTTGATTTGTTGTTTCTGGCTCAAAGGTCGTTTCATGTGACCTAATATTAGTCGAAAACTTGTCAGGTATGGGGAAATTTTCTCTCCCTTGCCCTGAGTCCTGGCTTTTAATTCGTCTATGACATCATCATCGTCGACCACAACCAAGTTGATTCGGACTCACTCGTAGAGTCATCTGAGATTGATCTTCGGCTCTCCTTTGCGGCTTTCTTCGGCTTTCGTGTTCTTCTCTCCTTTCGTTCGCTTTTTATACTCACTCGGTTTTCGCTTCTACTCTCACAACTACACTTTTCACTTCCACGGCTCTCCTCGCTATCATCATACTCGATTCGTCTCTCTACCTTGTCTCTTTTACTCCTTCTACTATTCGCGCTCTCATTATTTTCAAGTTCCGTGATCGGCTCTCCATTTTTCGGCACTCTTCAATGAGTGACACTAACGTCACTCACACTACTCCGGCTTGACTGGTTTCTAGGGGCAGGTGTGGGCCTCACTCTCTCGTTAATGTGATGTGAGTGTGAGGTCTCGGCTACTGGCTGTTTTCTTTGGGGGGACACAATTCTGGATTCTTGATGATGGGTCAATTTAAATCCGTCCCTGACTGCGGCCCTACATTGGCTTTGTTGCCATTCCCAGCCCCCTCCCGAATACTGTCTGTCCATTTTCTCAGCATAAGCTGCTAGCCTCTCAATTTCGGGAGATAAGCCTAACCTCACTACCGAATCTCGCATGGTTTGTACGCTAGGTCCCATTGTAGCCGATTGAATAGTGTGGGGCGCTGTCATGATCGTGCTCGTTGTCATACTCATTTGAGCACTGGTAGTGATGGGGGAAAACGTCGTCATGCTGGCTGTTCTCATGACTGGGGTTGTGGGTGTAAAATTTGGGGTGGACGCAACGCTGGTCGGACTGGGTCTACTGTACGATGCTCCATTTTTGGTTCTACTTCCCCCACTCCCTAGGGTTTTCCTGGCACTAATACGCTCGATGACCTGACTCGCCCCGCTGTCTGATGTTTCGTCATCTGACGATGACATCTGGCCACCCCTGCGGTAATTCACAAATGGAAATTTTTCCATTTCTGGCTCCGGGAACGCTTCCAACAAAAAGATTTTGTCGGAATTTCCTAAGTCATACCGATCGCAAAATGGCACATCACTACCGTCGTTTAGTGCTAATCTCATTTCCGCTCGCAATAGCCTCTCTTTCAAAACTTGTGGCGAACCACTGATACACAATTGGTGTCTCAATAAATTCGTCACTATCTGGCCAACTTGCATGATTTTAATTTTTTCCCATGCTCGGCGTACGCATGGTACTTCAATTAATTCGCTCATGCGTCTCTTGTAATCCTGCATCTCGTCAATTGCCTTTGTCATTTCAAAAGAAATTTTAAAGGAAAAATTTTCTAGGTCTGAAAATTTTTAAATTTTCAGGGGGGTGCGCAATTAGTATATACAGCACTGTGCTGTCTTGAAGCAAGGACGTGACTACTCAAGGAGGGCCCCCTTTAAAATTTTTAAATTTCTGGCGGACTGGTGATTCGACTCTCCCTCTGCCTCTTCTTCTTGTTCTCTCTCTCTCTGTGTAGCCGCTATTACTACTACTACTAGGCCACTATTTCCTGGCGCGCGCAACTTTCTCTCGGCTGTCGAAATTTTTAAATATCCCGGCGCGTCGTTTCTCTCGACCGTCCGGCGCACTATTTACAGTCACGTGACTAATTCGAATTTTATTTCCGGTCTAACATGTGCTCGGCATAAAATTTTGGGGAAAATTTTTGATTTTGCACAAGTTTTTGGGAATTTTACTCGGAATTTTCTCACAAAACTGGCCTTCGACAAACAAAAAAAATTTTAATTGTTGAGTTTAATTTTTATCACGGCAGGGAATTTTTATAGTCTCAAAAGAAAAGGAAATTTTTCAAATTAAATGGCAAAGGCACTCTACAATTTTAATTTGCACGATTTTTGGCAATAATTTACTCATAAATTATGAATGAATAAATTTGGGCATTAGCAAAGTAAATTAATAAACAATTTGGCAATGGAAATTTTGACTTTTCTTGGCAAGAACAAATAATCTTGTCTGGCTATTACAATTTTGAAAATTCAAAATTCTGGCAATATGATCACAATAATACACAGAGAAAAATATTCTGGCAATCAATAAATTTTAGTCGTGTCTCGGTTCGAGCCTGGCCCCACGTTGGGCGCCAAATTTTGTGACGTTTTAATTTGAACAATTGATATTATTGTCCAAAGTTCTGCTTACGTCAGGCAAAATCCGACGCATTCAACATAAGAAAATAAATAGAAATTTATAGCAATAAATTTCGCCGTCAGGCGCCAATTAATTTTAAGATTAATTAATAAAATTTAATTTCGACTCGGCTCAACTCACAACAATTCAACACCTCTGAGTTTCTCTCTCACTCAGAGGGAATTCTGCTCGACAATTGGCAAGCAGAAATTGCCAACGGCGAGACACGACTGGCACAGTATCGTCAAAAACGACTTACCCACGGTGTTCCTCCTTTTGGTCTCCAACTTTGGCTCTCCCTCTGGTTCTTCCAGGCTCGTCCTCAAAAGGTTTAGAAGGAACAGCAAGGAGTAGGAATCCAAAATTTACAAATTACACACTACACCGTGAACTCACAGTTCAAATCTAATTTATTTATTATTTTTGAGTACACACTTCACTCTTTCTCTCCACTGTTACGAACGAGAAAATATTTAAATAATTAATATAGTTGATTTAACTATAATGATTATTTTGGGCTTTTGAGATGGCCCTATTTTCCAGTTTGTTGGAGGAATTCAAACTGCCAGAGCGTGAGCTCTGTTTAACTTACTGGGATTCGTGTTTCCTAGTTGCCAAAATTCAGAAATTTATTAGGAAGGGGGGGGGGTAAAGAGAATATAGGAAATTAATAGAAAGAAATTTAAGAGTAATAGTTATGATTTATTGTAAATTAAAGAAAGGATCCATCCGCCTCTCAAACAATAAAAGAAAGGAGGATGGGGTAAAACTAGCCAGAACGATACAGTTACTTACCCGTTCTGGAACCTTAAGTCTACCGCCAGAATTCTCCCGACGGGCGAAGATTTCACAATACGCACTATTTATTGTCCTTGAAAAATTGTTATAAACAGAAAATATTTTGTAATTAAATATATTATAATTATTAATATATTTAAACACCGTGGGCTTTTGAGATGGCCCTATTTTCTTTAATCAATTTCCTAAGTTAATTCCTCAAACCATTAAAACAGGGCGGACGCGGCAACAACCGAAACCGGCCGGTCTTTTGACAAGAAAGGATTTTTATTAAATTTATTTCCCCACTATTTTAATTTTTGAGACGACCCCGCGGATTTCGAGGTGTTTAAAATTTTATTTTACGTCCGGCCAAATTGCTTGTATAAGCATACAATCAATTTGGATCCTGTATACCGGACGGGAACGTTATAGGAAATTTAAAAAAATTTTAATCCGACAGAGTTCAAGTCTCTGTGCTGTGGGAAACCGTACTGTTCTCAAATTTTGAAAATGGCCTCCGTGGACTTCGGAGTAATTTGTATTTTTATTTTCGTCCGACCGAATTATTCGTGTAAGCACACAATTAATTCGGATCCTCGGTATCGGACGGGAACGTTATAGGATTTAAGAAATTTCTTTTACACCGATGCCAGAGTCTAGCCTCTGGGGGTCGCGGCAACCGAACTGAACAATTTAGATATCTAATTAATGTGCTTATATAGTTTTACTTCCTTAAGAAATATGGAAAGGTGGGGACAGGGCGTTGGTCCTGTTGCCATGCCAAAATTGCTGAACTTGCATTTTGTGGAATCGGTTCATTGCACTATGTTGAAATAAATTCCTTTTTCTTGTATTCTTAGAAAGAATATTTTCTTTTTAATATTCTTTTAATTATTGAAACAATTTTTAATTTGTTTATTTATTTATTTTTTTTAATTAATCTCTTAAAATAGGATTAATGTAAGTTGGAAATAATGGACATTTCAAAATAGAAATTCCATTCTATTTTGTAACCCTAAAAAAAAGGTTGTTACAATTCCAACGTTAAATCATTTGTCAATAATTATTTTAATGTGCATTGGAATCTTCCGCAAGTTTGCAATTTATGGCGGGCAAGGTTTATAAGCTAGGTTGGTACAGGGAAACGAGAGATAAATTATATTTTTGAAAGAAAAGAAATAATAATAGAATTAATAATAATAATAGCCTAAACGTTCCCATCTTTATATATCGTATAATTGTTAATTGTATAAATATTTTTAATTAAGGTTGGGCCATCATTCACCCTGTATTTAAAGATTTAAAGAATTAAAAGATGCATTTTAATTTTTAAAAGACGATTACAATAGTATTCGCCATTGGTAAGAGGGAGAAAGAGCTACAGGACAGAAAGAGTACGCAATACTCTGTAAGAACAATATGCCTGAGAGAGAACGCTTCGATGCTATACACAATCTTCTTTCTCTCTCGCACAATGTCAAGGGGAGCGTGGGGAGCGCGGGAAGTCTTCACTCAACGCGTTGAGTGTAGCCTCACGTCTATTCTTCGTGTATATATATATATATATATACACATATATATATTGTATTTTATTATTTTAATTCTAATATAGTTAATAATTTTTCCTTTACATTTTATTTTAAATAAAATAGGCAACATATATATATACATATACACGTATACACACACACTCATTTGCTTATGTAGTTGTTGTTTCTTAAATCATAAAAATAATAAAAATGATAGCCCTTCATTAATTGATTTACCTGAAAGTCATGAAAATAAAACAATTTAATTGCTGAAATAGTACTTTCAGACGGAAGAAAAGGCTTACGGTCTTTGAACCGAGTTCATTTTCTGCGTGATTTCAAAATGCTAAGCATGCATTTCATTAATTGCTTTTAATTAATGATAAATAAAATATAAAATTTTTGTAAAATTTTTGTTACGATAATGTGGCGTAACAAACCACCGTGGAAATTCCGTTTTTCGTC